CCCATTGAGGCCTACAAACAATTATCCCCCACACACTCTTTGAACTACTAATAGAATCAACAAAAGACAAATCTTAAAAAAAGAAGACGAGGGAATTAAGATGTGCCAAACTGAATTGCTGAGTCATTTTGCTTTTTTATTACACTTATCTCCTATTCTTTCCCTGTACATTGTTTAATTAGGCTCCAATTTACAATGTACAAACATTGACTGCAGTGGGGCTCCCTGAAGGTGCACCCATCTACTCACATTATAAATGTTGCAGAATTGGGGCCATGGAATGTAAGTTTCTCTGGCAAATGCTTTTTTGCTAATTTGTAGAGTACCTCATTAAATCCTATGATGGATATATAAATAAATGTAAATACGGATACAACAAATCCATGCCTTATTGATACATTGGAATTATTTCAGAATAGCAAAGTGAGTTTGGAGAAAAGGAGAGTGGATACCTTGACAATATTTAAATAAACAGAAACTGTTTGCCAAAATTCCACAGCTGGAATGAATGGCTTGAATGAAAAGATACGAAATGAGCAAAATGTTGGATTTACTAGACTGAAACTTGGGAGAAGAGAAGAAAAGGAAATGCTGTTAAAAGCTATACCTCTGACTGAGAAAAAAGAGAGCAACACAGCACTTTATTTGCAAATGCTTGCATGCTGGTATTTGTTCCAAGATAAAAAGAGAAATTTGCACAAAAATCTCTTTTATTAGAAAAGCTAACATTGCTGGTCTCCACTGAAATGCACTTTTAAACACCTCAAAGGAATGTTACCTTTTTACACTATTCCTGATGATGCCAATGCACACCTGGTTACCGAATTTTGTGATTTTGTCCTCACCCATAACTATTCCAATAAGGGGACAATTTATAGCTTCCAGTCAGCAGCACAGCTATGGGTACCTTCATGGCCCCACAATATACCAACATCTATGGTTGACCTCAAAGAACGTTTCCTCAGCTTTCGCCCATTTGCACTCTTACTCTACTTATGCTATGTTGACAACATCTTCATCATATGGACCCACGGGAAGGAGACCCTTGAAGAATTCCACAGGGATTTCAACAATTTCCATCCCACCATCAACCTTAGCCTGGACCAGTCCACACAAGAGATCCACTTCCTTGACACCACAGTACAATTAAATGATGGCCACATCTCCACCATCTTATACTGGAAACCGACCGACTGCTACACTTATCCTCATGCCTCTAGCTTTCAAGCAGGACACATTACCCGATCAATTGTTTACAGCCAGGCCCTAAGATACAACCAGATTTGCTCCAATCCCACAGACAGAGACAAACACCCACAGGATCTCTATCAGACATTCTTAAAACTTCAATACCCATCCGGGGAAGTGAAAAAAAAAAGGTTGGCAGAGCCAGATGAGTACCCAGGCATCAGTTTCTTCAAAATAGCCCAACAAACAAAATAATAGAATACCACTAGTCATCACCTACAGCCCCCAGCAATAAACTCTTCCGGCGCATCACTAACAATCTATCCTGGAAAATGATCCCTCACTCTCACAGGCCTTGGGGAACAGGCCAATCACCTATAGACAGCCCCCCAACCTGAAACAAATTCTTTCCAGCAATTATGCAGCATACCTCCATCATACTCACCTAGGAACCCACCCCTGCAATCAACTCCAGTGCCAACTCTGTCCATTCATCGACACAAGCAACATCATTACAGGACCTAACCACATAACCATCCACATTAGAGGCTCATACAGCTGCACATCCACTAATGTGATCTATGCCATCAAGTGCTGGCAATGCACCTCTGCCATATTTATTGACCAAACTGGACAGTCTCTACAACAAAGGATTAATAGACACAAATCAGATATTTGAAATGGTAACACATAGAAACCTATTGGGGAATATTTTAACTTGACGGAGCCCTCATTAATGGATTTAAAGGTAGCTATAATTGTCTCATACAAAACAATTTCAGGAATCAACTAGAAAGAGAATTTGCGGAACTAGCCTTCATATGCAAATTTGATTCTATCTCGCATGGCCTGAACAAAGGCATGAACTGGATAGACCATTATATTTAATACCCAAATGACATTAAAAGCCAAGAATCAGGCACTTACAGCCTAATCTAGTAGCCTCATTTAGCACCAACACTTTAATTGCAGGG